GGGTTGATGCGTTCCCTGGCATACGAAGAAAGAGAATTTGGGATCAAAGTAAATGCTCTTGGGCCAGTGGCATTCACGCCAATGGCCAAAACGATCCTTCCTGAATCACAATGGGATCGGGCGGCCCAGGCGTTACCTGCGTGGACTACTTCGCCCGTCTGCGCCTGGCTAGCCCACGAAGCCAATGAAGATACCGGCAAAATGATTACCAGTTATGGCCGCAGTATAGGTCGGATGTTCCTTGCCGAAACGAAGGGAGTCTTCTGCGGAACTGGAGAATATACCATCGACACAGTGAAGGCCCACTATGAAGAAGCGCGCGATGAGGCTGGATATATCGTCCCGACCTCTGTGGAAGATGAGAGTAAAAGATTAGAAGGATTTGCACTGTATGATACCCAGGAGAGGCCACTAGACTTTTTTAAGTAATAGCTAAAATCATCTAGCAGTCTTAGTCGCCAAGATAGATGTCGTAGTTCGAATCACACCCTTCCAATAAGCATCATTACTAGAACTGTGCTGAAATTAATAATGAACGTGGACATTGTGTATTACCCACCAACCTAACTCTGCTGTCTTCGTTTCGCTTATTGCTATCTTCTGCACAATAATCCGACGCCTCATATGGTCGACGTCAGCCTTTTTCCTTACACAGAATGATTCTTCGTCTGGCCAAAAACCTCTAGGAAGAAAAGTGGTAGAAGTAAGCCCCCCTAATCTAGGATAGCGATCTTGGAGAACCTCTAATGTCTTCATGACACGATGGCTGTTGATCAAATATTGGAAACTTTTTTCGAGTTTGCCTGTACAGAGGATGAAGGCCACCCAGAGCACGGCATACAACCCTAGAGCAATGCAACAAAGTTTCGCTGTCCGCGAATACGACTACATATGGCTCTTTGCCATATACCCAAGACTTATCGCACTGTCGTCCTGCTTTTGAAGTCAAAACATTCCTCAATTCATTCTCCGAAGTCAGACAATATGAAGCATGTCTTATCAATGATTATCCCACTTGTCGGTAGCTCACTAACAGGGTTAGAGCCTAATCTTCCTTACTAAGGGAGAAATTCATCGTACCATCACTAGTCACGATGTTATACTTGTAGAGTACTTAGCGAGATGTAGTAAAAAATAGTGTTAGTTGGCTGTCTCTGCGACACACTGATTCTGGCTTCTGATTCAATCGAAGCTACCTTGCGGGCCCGCGATAAGAAGTCACTAGCCTCGGCTTTTCTAAATTGATGAAAAAAAATTAGGATAGCACCATTGGTGCTTTGAAAACTAGTGTGGGGTTAAACCAAACGCGAATAGGAAGGTAGGGTCGGGATGAGAGGCTGCTTCCCCGCAATTGTGGGGTTGAAGCTAGCGTGCAACGGCGACTAGCTACCCCAAAGTAGAGAGCCCGTGGCAGTTCATGCAAAAATCGCAATAATCTTAACACAAAAGCTGCCAAGATGTAGAACAGGTGCCGACCGGCTAGGAACGCGTAATGAAAAGTGGACTAGCGGGGCAGACATTAATCAAGGCTCGGGTATCGCTTTTTTGGGAATGGCGCATCTCTGGTTCAATATATTTATTCTTGCAGCCATATCTCTTTCTGTTGTAACGAAGAGACGTCTCAACATGCAGTGGAAGAGCCTCTTTAGCTATAGTGTCGTATTCGGAGGGGCGCAAGCTCTTGACTGCTCGCCTTCCAGCATCCAGTCCGTGCTTTCTGCAAATGCTAGTGTAAACTGGGCACACCCACTCCAGGAAAATTCAACTTTACAGGTGCCCAAGGGAGACACTGGCTATCCAACAAACCCAATCGGGCTTCCAGCTTTATGTGCTATTTCTATACAAGTCCAGTCTATTGGTAATACGACTTATGGATTTGGACTATTGCTACCAGAATTATGGAATAGTCGATTTTTAGCAGTCGGCAATGGAGGGTTTGGAGGAGGTATCAACTGGGAAGACATGGTAAGTCTATAGCTCGCATGAATGAGGTCACTATTGCTAACCATTGCACACACAGGGACCTGGCAGTCGTTATGGGTTTGCGACCATGTCAACAGATACTGGCCACAATTCATCCACAGGAGACGGATCCTGGGCATACCGACAACCAGACAAGATCGAGAATTGGGGACATCGGGCTATGCACGGATCCGTAGTGACAGCCAAGCTGATTGTCTCTGCGTATTATTCAAAAGACATCTCGTACAATTACTATGCCGGTTGCTCAACAGGAGGCCGACAGGGGTTGAAAGAAGCTGAGAGATACCCTGAGGACTTCGACGGTATCATTGCAGGTGCCCCTGCTTGGTGGACAACTCACCTGCAGCCGTGGACGATCAAAGTGGCAATGTACAATTTGCCAACCACAGCTGATCATCACATCCCACCTTCTAAGTTCAGTGCTATCGGTAAAGAGGTGATGAAGCAGTGTGATGTCCAAGATGGCGTCAAAGATACTATCATCTCAGACCCGCAAGGCTGTAACTTCCGCCCAGAAGAGCTCCTATGTGGTCAGAACGTCAAAAACACTAGTACTGCCGGTTGTCTCACTGCCCCTCAACTATCGACCTTGACCAAGATCTACTCAGACTCCTGGAGTGAGAATCAAACATTTACCTTCCCGCATCTCTACTATGGAAGTGAACCTCAATGGGCACTCCTCTCTAGCGACCTACCAAATCCACTTGGCACCGACTACGTCCGCTACTTTTTGAATTTTGGCGCAGATTGGTCGCCGTACGAATACAACGAAAGCATCCAGCGTCTTGCCGACGCCACAGATCCTGGAAACGCAAATGTCAAGTTCGATCTCTCAGCTTTCCATGCCAGGGGTGGCAAGATTCTGTCATATCACGGCATGAGTGACGGACTGATACCCACAGGTTCAGCAACATACTTTTACAACCAGGTCGTTCGCGAACTTAAGCCACGTGGCATTGAGGTTGACGACTTCTTCCGCTTCTTCCTTGTGCCAGGAATGGGTCATTGCTCAGGTACCTTCCCCACAGTCAATGCACCGTGGTACTTTGCAGGGCCCAATCAAGCTTCAGCGTTAGGTCCTACAGTATACAGTGTACCTGGCTTCAAGGATGCTGATCACGATGCCATGCTCGCAATGATGAGGTGGGTCGAGGAGGGCAAGGGGCCTGATTATATCATCGGCACAAAGTATGCCAACGAGGCTACCCAGATAGGGATAACGAGGCAGCGTCCGTTGTGCATGTATCCAAAGCAGGCTAAGTATAATGGAAGTGGGGATGTAAGTGCGGCAAGCAGTTGGAGTTGCAAATCCTTGTATGGGTAAAATCTACTACATACGCACTCTTTTTCGAATACCCAGCTCCTGATAAGACACCTTGCACGCAGCTGTAGATATATATATCAATAAATCTGAGATTATGGTTTGAATTGTTATAATTAAGGTGACATATATTATACTCTGGAAACATACGATCTGTTAGTACGAAGGCACCAGTACCGGTGATGAGAAACATGGGCTTCTGATAAAGGGTCAATGGTAATAAAGCAATGCCGAACTGCAGCGGAAAGACAAGCACACCAATGTAGTAGACCTAACCTTCCCTTTGCACATCTCCCTGTCCCACAGCATGCATGATCGTTGCTCTTAGTCCGCCTCTTCGTTTCAGAGCATTCAGCTCCAGATCCCCAATTGCTCGATTCAGGATCCAGATGTTGTTTTTTGAGCATACTCCCTGTTAAAATTGATGATCATTGAAGGAAGTTCGGGCTTCCGCATAAGTCTGCTATCTCCGACGAAGGAAGCAAGGGCGGAGAAAAGGTATGATGACTGTATAAAGCTCAATGAGATGGTTGCACCATGAAGAGAGCCACTGAGCTGAGTGGGAGTCTTACATACACTGTACCCGCCGATGATTGGAAGTATAGTTGCGCAATCTGATAGATTCGAATAATAAATCCGGACAGGAATCTATGAAAATATACCTTCAATCTGTCACATAAATGAGCTGTGGCTAACGTCACCTGTTATGCAAAGGTTTGTTATTTGTGAGTCTTTTTGAATTGTTAAGATGAACACAATTCGAACCGTTAGCTCCCCGTTCGAGATTCTTCACGAACATCACGAGCCCATCGACATGATCTATAGTTTTAATATTACCTATGTCATTTACGGTTCTCTTGGATACAGCTTTGAAGAAATGTCTTCCTTTACAACTTGACAGAAGATTTTTAACAACAGCGGTTGCTCAACTGACGGACTAGGCGTTGCGAGAACACTATTCTTTGTAAGACACTCCCCGCGAATAGATGAGACTATGTGGTGTTGCAGCACCATAAGTCCCGGGCCTTATCCGTCCTCATGCCCTATAGGCGGCTTTTAGATAGGACGTTAAATCTAAACACACACACACATACACACACATATATATACACAGAAGATTTCCAGGCTGATGGCTATCGTCGTTGCATTACGTCAAGTTCAATTCATATTCATCTAATGTATCTTAAAACTCGCTTTTTACTCTCTCAACTCTAGGTAAAGTATTCGAATGCGAAAAAGGATGTTCCCAAGGGGTTCTAAAAGCTTGTACAGCGAAAGAAACGCTCTATGATGTAGAGTATGTTTTTTCCGGGCACCGCTCAGGGCATGATTGTTATCTCTGGTATAACTAAGTAGGAATCTTTTGGTAGACGATTTTATTTTGAGAGATATTCAACCGACGGTTGATGAGTTGAATGAAGTGCGCGCAGTTATTAGCTGGTTGAAGCCGTAGCGAAATTAATGTGATGAAAGGGTGTTAGTAAATGCTGATAATTCGGGTGATACGAAGCCCCCTGATCTCCTTGACTTGTTTATTATTACGGTGGTATTATTGGATATAGGACTAAGAGAATAAAGGTGTTTTTATAAAGCTGATAACATTCTCCTAAAAAAAAGTATAACTATGAATGAAATCGGTGCTAGCGCGATGATAGATCGACACTTAGGTCTTTGTACTATGTACTCGAAAAGCACCTTATCCACCTTGACTAATTCCTGGAATAAATTCTCTAAGGAAGCCCCATCGACTTATATCCTTCCATCCCTTCTTTTGCCAGTCGTTTGCCGGTCTTGGATAGAGATCTACGACACTAATCAAGCTATTATCATGGGAAATAACTGGAAAGATGTTGTCGTATACGTCAAACTCAATCATTTTCTCGATGCTGTGTGTTGCTTCCGACGCTGATAAGTGCCGCCTTCCTTCGGCTGCAGTCGGATTGAAGAATGGCAAAGTGCGACTCTTTTTGGGGTGAATTGAAAGGAACATCTCGACAGGGCATTTCGCTGGCGGTTGGGTCAGAGCATGCTCTAATGGGTTCGGATCAATTTCTCCAGGCAAGGGCACATATTTATTTGGACGGAACTGACCACCGTGGTGTGCCACATCTCCGCCCATGAATATAAATGTCGGAGGATCAACTGTAGTTCTGGCAAGACCCGAAATGTGCCCAAATCCATGGCTAGGCGTATCCAATAAGTAAAAACTTCCATCTCCGTACAAGTCAATTGCGTCAAATTTTCCAATTTTGAGCCCTTGGCCTTCTTTCCTGAAGTCGATCTTGTTGAGCGCACGGCCTATCCATGCTCTCTCATCTACCCGAGATTCCGGAACGGTGGGGAACACGGGTAAATGATGGGATTTGAAACCTGATCCAACAATAATATCTGTCGACTGAGGAAAGGTGTTAGGGTCGCCGACGTGGTCGAAATGCCAGTGAGACCAGACAATGCCTCCCACACTGGCCAAATCCTGACCGTTCTCACGTAGTATAGTTGCGACATCCTTTTCCACCTCGATAATACAGCCTACCTGCATGGCTGCTTCTATAAAGGTAGTTAGGCTGTTTTCCTAGTCTTTGCGAATATTGAGGTTGAAGAGCAAAGTAGCGTATTTGTGAGTACTGGTAGGATGTTCGATCAGGAAGGCGAAACTGACGCAATGCATCTCTTCAGTACCAGGAATGATAGGGTCTATAAATGCTGCACCCGGAAATTTACCCATCCGGCTAGTTGTGTTGATTATGGCCACCTTGACCGTGCTTTTCGACTCTGGAATATAGAGCTCCGGAGGGCTGCGTACATCTTCCATCTTTGAGCTGATCGTAAGTGGATCTGTAGGCTGAGAGCACAACTGTCGGTGTTTGTGTGGCTCTGAAGCACGCATTCATGCTTTTTCCTTTGCCCAGTCGTATTTAGAAACCCGGCACAATTTAACAATACCGAGAAGGTATAAGAGATACAGACACCGAAAGACGCATGCGCAAACACGATGGACGCATGCGCAAACACGAAAGACACATGCGCAAACACGATAGACGATAGAAAAGGTAAAGTAGGTAGAAGATTAACACTTATATATATCTAGCGGATCTAGTAGACCCTGCACATTATCTCAAGCTAAGCACACTTTAACTATACCTTATTCTTAAGATTCTTTAGCGGACCAATGATGTCTGTAGGCGCTGGTAACCAACCCCCGCTCGTACCGTCGACACTTCCACAGAAGCTAGTCTAATGAAAGTGTTTGTGTTCGCTAAGTGCTTCCGGATCGCATAGGTATTGCTTGCGCGCTGTCATGGGTCTCACCACCTAACCAGATAAGAACACAAGGCTCGGTTATATAGAGCTCCCATCAGTTGTACCTATGGATCGTGTTTCATGTTGTAGTTTTGATCAATGCAAATAGCACTAATCCACAACAAACAGTTGCAATCGCAATATCGAAACTGCTCCAAGTAGAGTTTTACCGAAGTTCCTTGTGATCTTGTGTTGTGTGCTATTGTCAGATTATGGGTACATAGCAGGTGGTTAGTAGAGGCCGGGTATAGGCAGAGCACCCGGATTCTGGGATTAGTCAGCGGGCACGATCCACC